GTCTTTTTTTTGCCTTTTTTTTTCTTTAAAAATTCCCCCCCCCCCCCCCCCCACCCAAAAAAAACCACCTAAATTCTTACTTTTGAAGTGTTTTATTGATAGTTTTTCATTAAAAATATTTTTTAAAAGTTAGTCACGTGCTCGTATTTTTCTCAAAAACAAAGGAAAACATTTTTTTCATCTATTCCTCTTTTTCTTATTTACCCACCAATAAAATATAAAATATGAATATGTATAATATTTTATATGTTGAAAATAAAATCAATCAAACATAATTAATAATTTTTATGCAAATAAGTTCTAAACATTTTTCTTTTTATATAAATTCTATACGTGCAAACAAACACATCCTTGGATCTTTCAGCCTTTTCTCTGAATCTTCATTTCCAAGAGTGTGTTCATGTCTTTAGTTTTGATGGTGTATTTGAAGTTTCATGAAACGGTTAACTCAAATTTTTAGATCATTTCTTATTTATTGGTCACAAGATATCCAATTTATTGATCAAAATCTCAAATAATTTGTCTCATATTATTTATTGGTTAAAATCATCCAAATAATTAGTGACCAGCATCATTTGCGATCAACACCTCACCATCGTACCGCACACAACACCGTCATCAGCCACCACGAATTCCAGAGCCATCCACCACCTTATGACAATCGATCAACACCATTGCATATTGCTAGAGCCAGCACCACACCGTCAACACCACATCACATAGCACATTGCACTCAAACACAGCATTGTACGACCATCGCATACAGCACTACAATTGCACACCACAATCACGTCGCACAACACATCTCAACCACCATTGCACTCACAAAACCAACACACCATCACCATCACCTCACCATAGTACCACAACCAAACAGTCAATCACCGCACCACTCAAAAATTGAAAAAGAAAAAAAAAAGAAGAAGAATGAATTTATGTCGTGCGTTGAAGGAAAGCCATCACTGCTGCACCGTGATGAGTCATCGTAGTGAGTGTCCCTATGTAGTGACGACTACTATGGTCTCTTGCTTTGGTCTTCGACGATAGTCTTTCATGTGTTAAAGAGAGAGAAGGGGTCGATGCTGTAGCGTCGATGGTGACGGTGCTCTAGTGGTGGTGTGTGGTAATGAGACGGAGGGAGGGAGGGAAACGGAAAAATATTAGGGTTTGGGAGAGATATTTGATGGGGTGGATGGAAGTGGGGTGAGTACATAGATCAATTAAATATTATAATATTATTAATTATTAATATTAAAATGTGATTTTTGTATACACAAAATTTAAATTTGATTTTTGAAATTAGAACTTAAAAAATCTACATCTACGTAATTTCCTCATTTTATATAATGGCATCAAGCTTTTCAAATTTTAGTTAAAACTTAACTCAGCTGTTGAATATTAAAGTCACAATTGTTGACTCCAATAATATTGTTGAAACTTCATGAAGAAGTTTTCAAGTTGTAAGTGACCAACTTGAATTTGAATTCCTTTCCACCAATCACAACTTGGAAGTGGCAAAATTGAAGTGAAACTCTCCTAGCCACCATATTTGACTATTTAAGAAGAAAATTTCTATTGAAATTCTTCTTATTTTCATGTAGATACTTCCATTAAGGAAGTTAACAATTTCTATAAATAGAGGTAGACGTGAGTCGATTTTGCCTTTACAACAAAATGGAATTGAGAAACCGCAGCTGAAAATGGACACAAGTATTTACGTGGTTCACCCAATTTAGACTACGTCCACGGGCAAGTATAGGAGGATTTCACTATAGTAGGAGAATTACAACACTCTCTAAATACAAGGAGATAACAACAATTAATCTCTCTTGTAATATGAGAATACAAGGAGGTAATGCTTAGGAGAAACTAATATATATTTTTTTCTCTCTACTCCCAATCTTCTCTCTACTCTCTAATTCCTCTCAAGTTGCTTGCATTCTCTCTCCCCACATCTACCTCTATTTATAGAAATTGTTAACCTCCTTAATGGAAGTATCTACATGAAAACAAGAAGAATTTCAATAGAAAATTTCTTCTTAAATAGTCAAATATGGTGACTAGGAGAGTTTCACTTCAACTTTGCCACTTCCAAGTTGTGATTGGTGGAAAAGAATTCAAATTCAAGTTGGTCACTTGAAACTTGAAAACATCTTCATGAAGTTTCAACAATAATTATTGGAGTCAACAATTGTGGCTTTAATATTCAACATTTCTCCCACTTAAAGTCACTTTTGTTGACAACTTCATCCTTCCCATACTTGCCTTTTCCATACTACTTACGTTTCTGCTAGGCCGATGGAGGATCGACACCATCTAAACTTGTCAGTTCCGATCGGTTTTGTTAACATATCTGCTAGGTTATCTGCTGTATGGATCTTCTGTATATCCATACTTCCTCCCTCCACCTTCTCTCGAACAAAGTGATATTGAACTCGAATATGCTTTGTCCTCTGATGGAATGCTGGATTCTTTGCCAAATGCAAAGCGCTCTGACTATCACAAAATAGAGCAATCTTCTCTAGTTTGTGTCCGAGCTCCTCCATTATCATTTGCAACCAGATTGCCTCTTTACTGGCTTGTGTAGCTGCCACGTATTCTGCCTCTATAGTAGAAGTAGCCACGATAGACTGCAGTTTCGAAACCCAGCTTACAGGTCCTCCAGCAAGAGTAAACACATATCCTGTGGTGGATTTGCTTTTATCAAGATCACCTGCATAATCTGAATCAACATAACCTCTGACAATAAAGTCTGATCCTCCATAACATAATGTAGCATTTGAGGTACCCTTGACATATCTCAGGATCCTCTTCACAGTATTCCAATGCTCTTTACCAGGATTTGCCATGTATCGACTAACCGCTCCCACTGCTTGTGCAATGTCTGGTCTTATACAAATCATAGCAAACATCAAACTACCCACTGCTGATGCATATGGTACTCGAGACATCTCCATCCTCTCTGCTTCATTGCTAGGACTCATACTTGAGGATAACTTGAAATTAATAGAAAGTGGGGTAGAAATTGGCTTACAATCTTGCATATTGAAGCGACGCAAGATTTTCTTCAAGTAGTTCTTCTGATTAAGCGAAATCTTCCTATTATTTCTGTCTTGGTAAATTTGCATTTCTAGAATCTTGTTTGCCTGTCCCAAGTCCTTCATTTCAAATTCCCTTGCCAACTGTGCCTTCAAGTTTTCAATACGATCTTTGTTGGGGCCTGCTACCAACATGTCGTCAACGTACAACAGCAAGATAATGAAATCATTATCACCAAATCTCATATAGTATGCACACGGATCTGAACAGAGTCTGTTGTATTCAAGGCTCATAATGAAGGAATCAAATCTCTTATACCAACATCTCGGCGCCTGTATTCAAGGCTCATAATGAAGGAATCAAATCTCTTATACCAACATCAGCAACTCTACTAATTGTCGATGATGGTCATGCCGTTATCATGTTATTTTTATTATAAGTACCTATTTTTTTACCATGACTTTATACACCCAAAAATTTATGAAATTATTACAATATTTAGATTTGATTGGCGAGCTTTATACACTTTTCAATTAACCAATTCATTATAATCAAATTATTCTCTACATATTTTCAAGTTTTTCAACTTTATTTTTGTTTTAAGAATTTCAATTTTGCTTCCACACCACATCAAAAACTTTATATGAAATATGTACAGTTGTCTTTAACTCACAAGCATTGTAAGAACAAATGCCAAAAATTTAACAGAATCAAACAATTGAATTCCCAAAATGTCCATGAATGAGGTTCTCCAGTATAGATCGCGTACAAGGCTTTCTGATTAAAAAATTACATGGAACGCATGCAAAATCAACAATTCTATATCACTGCACGAATTCTTAAGGCTCTCAGAAGCTCTTTTCTCAATCTTACCTTATCGAATTGTTCATATAACGGTGAATGCTGATTGAATGGTAGACGATAGCCGAGAAGTAAGGTTCTGGGTTGCAAATGCTTGAAGTTGTTTCTTGGCATCTCGACAAAAGGACAAAATATTATTGCTCATGGAGATAAATTATACAAATAAGTAAATGTTTTAGTATAAATATTAATAGTAAACTGCAGGAATGAGATTTGTGTGCATTGTATCCAGAAATGCACGAAATGCAGAAGCAAACGCCTCTCAATAAAATAGAAGAATCAATCAATTCACAAGGTAGCTAGGGTGCCTGAATAATATGATTTAACAGTGTAAGGCACTAACAATGACCACCACAACAGCTGCTATATTATAATTAGCATAATAATTATGAATTATCATTTCAATTTACGATGAATCAGACTGGAAAGATGAGTAATCCTTCTAGTATGAACATAAACAGTTTTCTCTAGATATACCAAAACTGGTCAAAATTAACATTTTGTGCAGTGTGAAACATGTAATATGACTTTTAACAATAAATTGATGTGAAACATAGTTAGCCCACGTACCTTTTCGGCATTTAGTAAAGCCAACAATGTTAGCGATGCTGAGGATCAAACATACCCCAACAACTAGAATATAATCAGCTTGAAACCTTATGAGAGAGAATATCCCAAAGAAGATCCACACAACTGCCTACAAAACAGAAGGCAACAAATTAGGCAGACCAAAATAGAACATAAATAGGAAAGGCTTCGCAATATGGTGCCATTATAAGAAATTTTTTTGACCTAAATGTATGCTACAGATTCTCTGCTTAAAATTCACTAACATGGCTAGTTAATTTATCCTTTTTTTAAAGAAAAATAACTCCCCCTATGTCAAGCATTTTCTTAAATCCTTTTTAATTATCCTTTGCAAGCATGTCCATTTTATTCCAGCTGGACATTCAAATGTGAGAGATTTGAGATAGTTTAATTCAAATATATTTACTCACTGTAAGGTATAAGGTCCACCAGAACAGCCATGAATCCTTCTTGTTCATCCGTGCAAGTGACTGAGAAATGGCAAAAAGTACAGTAAGATGTATGAGACACATTCAAACAGACAACGGATGCATATCATGCGACATGCATAAATCATTGCTGCTCACCTCTTGGTCAAGGCATTCAAATTTCCATACACTTTCACCATCTTCATTTATTTCATTCCACCACCTTAAACCCACCAAGATGCGTCCACTTACATTCTTGACAACCCAAAAATCAAGTGCAGATAGGAGAACAGTAACCACAAAAATGATGACAAAACTATCAACAAAGAATGCTGAAAGCATATAAAATGCCAACGCTGCAGACTGGAACCAAAGAAACAACGACATTATGTTACGAAACTTGCTGATGCAGATCAAAATCATAAAGTACCTAAGCAATCACAAAAACATATACTCAACCTTGAAGATGACATGGAAGAAGCATATCTGTGGATTAGCATAATTCTCCCCTGCAGGCTAAGCACAACAGAAAAAAATTTCAGATGAGCTCTCTACAATGCTAATTCTTTTTACTTGTCTAGGTAAGTGTGTGTTTGTGGGGTGGGGGCGGCATTGAGAAGACAACTAATCCATATCTATTCTTTTAGATTTTGAGATATTATATATGCACGACAAGCAACATCAAGCTCAGCCGTCAGACTAAAGCCACTTTCTTTTCTGTTCAACATTTTGCCTAGCATATTAACACTACTCTTTCTTCTAGTCATGGACTCTTAAGGCTGCTTTGACTGGAGTAAGCAGGCTTCAGTTAAGAAAAATAGAGAAAAAATACACCAGAATAAATAGTTTAAATAGTAAACTTCCCAAATCAGCCATTGTTGTTTTCTTTCCTCCCGTTCAAACAATTTTTATGACCTTATCAGTTCTGAGGAACATTTCATTTCAAATTTACTGAACATAAGTTTGCATGCAAAAACGAATCATAAGATGAATCCAACAAGAGAAATTCCTCAACCTTCCAAATATATCATTCCAATCTAGATAGTCTCACACAGCAACAAAATCACTAGAAAAAAGAAGAGAAATTATGCTCCGCAAGGACGCATAATCACTGGTCAATCTGTCTGATTAATCAATGTTGTTACATCGCCCAGTACAAGATAAAAATATGGTAGCATTTTATTAACTTGCATAACCCAATAATTCCCCTTTTGAAAACAGAACCAATCGAATCTCTCCATTTAGGTTTAATGTAAGAAAACGAAATAAAATTAAAAGATATACTGAACTAAAGGAGTAATCAATAATATTATAAACAATAATCGCAATCGATTCATAAACATGTAGCCATTAGACGAAGGAAATATATAAATGAATTTCAATCTACGGATTGTGTGTGAAATCAACGGAGATAATGAAAACTTACTGGATTCAGATCCATTTCGAGAATTACAATTCAATCACGTACTGCAATTCAGCTGCTTTGAATGTTGTTCGCAGGTTGCAGGTTCTATAGAAATTAACGGATTTCAATACAATACTCGTGCTACGAAATATCGAAGAAAATTTCCTTTTGTTTTTCCGCGGTTTAAAATGGAAATTAGGGATCGGAAATTAGGCCTGTTAATACTGCGCCGTTTTGCTTTGCTATTAAGATTTGGACTTCTTTGTTTTTCTGCCCATCCTCAAGTTTGAAAGTATATTAAAATAATTTAATTTTTAAATTTTACGAGTAAAAAATTACGTTTTATGAAAGTATTGTTCTGTTTAGGTCTAAATATCTTATGCATTTTAACGTTCACTTGACAAAAATCACTTTTTACTTTACATTGGCACTTGAAAAAGTTCGGAGTCATGCAAATTCATCTTTTAGATCCTGTTCGGTTTGGATTAAAATTTGATTTTAATCTTAGTTTTCATGGATTCCACAACTTTTCAACCATACATTTCAAAAACTTCTACCATAATCTACTAAAAAATCTAATTTTAACGCCTACCAAACACCTTCATAGATTCTTTCTAAAATAATGGGTCAAAGAAATTTGATGTATTTAGACAAGATGGATAATCATTACTCATTCTCTACATTTAAGTGCTTGTTTGGTAGTGAATTTGTTAATTGATTTTTTGACCATTTGAGATAAAGTAGGTACTACATGTAATAGAAGAATTCAAAAACGACAGTTAAAATAGTGAAATAATGGTTAAAATTTTGATTTTAATTGGATTAAAATCTCTACAAAACAATCTCTAAAAAAATGTAGTTTTATAAACTCCACTTATAATTAGTGTTTTTGAGACACATTATTTTGAAAAAATGTATTTTAAAATAGTAGATTTATGAAAAATGTGATGTGATCCAGGAGCCGCAAGCGTCAAAGTCAAGTCCAACGTCAAGCCCGAAGAAAGATCCGTTGATAGTCAAGGACGGTCCGATGACTTGAGCAAGGACGAAGCGAGTAAAAGAGGCAATGAGATTGCTCGTTCAAGAAACCATTGATGGAACAATGTTCGGGGCGCAAAACAAGGCAACTTTCATGTTCGGATCAAGAGCCGAATCAAATTGGATTAACTCAATACAAGCCGATACGGTCGCATAGTGTTATTTCGGGACAAAATTTCATTTTTCCGTGTTGTTTTCCATATTTTGTTAGAATTTTATTTCTAGTCAAATTCTTATAATACTGGTTGGTTATTTCGAGATTCTACTAGATTATTAGTATTTTATTCCTTTTGGACTTCTATTATAGAATTTAGTGTAAATAGAAGTTTATTCCTTTATTGTAAAAAACTTTTGAAATATTGATTAATTGAAATGCTTTAATTGCTTTATTTTTATTCTTCCAATTGAATAACTTTCGAACTTATCAAGATCTAATTCTTGTGGCGTTCAAATCAATCGAGTGAGATTCCATCATTTTGTGTAATCAAGAGGTCCACACATTGTCGATGATTCGGATTGCTTGATTCTAGATTTATCGATTTCGAATCCAAAACCTTGCTTTGGCTTTTTTGGGAAGATTTCCATCTTGTTCGTGGATTCTGTAGCGTTTGCCTACGCGGGTTCACATCAGTTGGTACCAGAGCTTGGCTCCAATCCAAGATTATATCTCTTTTTAATTCTTGTTGAGTCAGTTATTCCTTTTCTTTACTGTTCTTCGAGTCCGTTTGTATTTTAGAGTCTTTAATCCAAAAAAGTTATAAAAAAAACTTTAGAAATTATTTTTTGATTCAATTTGCATCCAAATCAACTTCCGTTTGTTGCGTCAGTTTTGTTTTTTATTTTTCTATTCTAAGAGTAAAAAAAAAAAAATACTGTTCATCCGTACAATAAAAAAAATTCCATAAAGAAATCTGAATTTAAAAAAAAATGTTATTATTATTGTTAATCTTGAGAATTATCGATTTCTTGAGTCTATTTATTATTTTGCGTCTAGTTTAAATTTTCAGTCAGTAATTTTCTTTCTTGTTTTGCGTTCTTGAGTCAATTTCTTTACTTGTCTAATTTGAATTGCCAGTCAAATTGTTCTAAATTCCTTGCCCTTGTAATCTCACTCACACCGGTTTGAATTCCACGTGATTAAATTTTTGATTGAGTTCCAAAATTGTTCTTTTGGGGACTTGGTGAAAAAACGAGAGATAAAAGGCAGAGTGGTGAGAACAATCGAGGGAAAAAACCATATTGAGTGAACAACTGTGAGGCAGAAAAATAACTTAGTTTAGGATGTCTGATAGGGAAGGATCGAGTTCAGGTAGAATTGATGATCGAGTTTCCATGCTAGAGGACTCAATGCGAAGGATTGAGCGGATATGTCTAGATATGAAGGATCAGATGGATAGGTAGGATGCACGGGGGAAGGCAAAATCCATTACCTGCCAATACACGAAGGGGAGGTCTTAATGCACGGAGACAGGGTAGACGGGAACCTAGGATGGAAGAGGTTAGTGAATTTGAGGTTGATAGTAAGATGGATGAAGATGCGATTGTGGATGCGGGATTGGAAAGGGTAGAAATAGGGGAGTTAGGCAAGAAATGAGAGGTAGGAATCTCGATGGAGACGAGATTGATAGGAATTTGAGTAACATTAAAATGATCATTCCTTCGTTCAAAGGTAGGAGTGATCCGGAGGCCTACTTGGACTGGGAGAAGAAAATTGAGTTAATCTTTGATTGCCACAATTACTTGGGAGAGAAGAAGGAGAAAATTGCAGTTCTTGAATTCACGGACTATGTAATCACTTGGTGACTTTGAGGCGAAGAAGTGGGGAGCGACCTATCAATATATGGGAGGAATTGAAAACTATAATGCGGAAGAGTTTTGTACCTACTCACTACTATCGGGAACTTTATCAAAGATTACAAAATTTATATCAAGGCTCCAGGAGTGTGGAAGATTACCATAAAGAGATGGAGACACTAATGATTAGGGCAAATGTGGAGGAGGATAGTGAAGCTACCATGACTCGGTTTCTGTGTGGATTGAACAGGGACATTGCAAATACAGTGGAACTGCAGCACTATATGAAAATTGAAGACATGTTACATGTGAGAATGAAGGTCGAGAGGCAGTTGAAGCGAAAGGGGACAGCAAGGTATCAATCGGGATCTTCGAGTTCTAATTCTTCTAGGAAATCGAAGTGAGAAAATAACAAATGAGTAGTAACAGTTGCAAGAGAAAGAACTGAGGTACCAAGAGGCAACGATGAGAGTGCTAGCAAGGCCATGCCAAAGGGGGAGTCACAGCCATCAAGAAACAGAGACATCAAACGTTTTTGTTGCTTGAGAGTGGGGCACATTGCTTCTCAATGCTCAAACAAGAGAACCATGATTCTGCAGAACAGCGGGGAAGTGAAAACTGAAAGTGAGAGTGATTATGCAGACATTCCAGAATTGGAGGATGTTGATGAAGAAGATACAACGGAGTATGCAGTTAACAGTAAGTTGTTGGTCACGAGGCGAACTCTTAGTGCTCAAATCAAAGCAGATAACTTGGAGCAGCAGGGAGAAAACATATTCTACACGCGATGTCACGTCAATGGCAAGGTATGTAGTCTGATAATAGATGACGGTAGTTGTACTAATGTGGCTAGCACTAACATGGTGAAAAATTGGGCTTGACACTGTTAAAACATGCTAGGCCTTATAAATTACAATGGCTAAATGAATGTGGGGAAGTTAAGATGACAAAAAGGTTTTGATTAATTTTTCCATTGGTAGATATCAGGATGATGTAATGTGCAATGTTGTACCTATGCATGCAGGGCATATCTTGTTGGGGAGACCATGACAGTACGATAGGAAAGCAATGTATGATGGGTATAAAAATAAGTATAGCTTTGTGAAAAATGGGAGGTCTATCACTCTTGCGCCATTAACATCGGCACAAGTATATGAGGACCAAATTCAATTGAAAAATGAAGAAAGAATAAGGGTGAGGGAGTTTGGGAAAAAGAGAGAAAATAGTAAAGTGACCAATAGAGAGGAAAAGAGAGTGGGACCACATGAGAGAAAAGAAAGAGAGTTTTACAAGATGAGAGAAAAGTCGAAACAAAATTTCTTTGTGAGAAGGAGTGAATTGAAAAATGCAATAGTTGAGAGGCAACAAATGATACTATTGGTTTACTAGGAATCACTCCTTAACTTTAAGGAGCATAACTTATCCCTCCCTAGTTTGGCTATTTCTTTGTTACAAGAATTTGAAGACGTGTTTCCGGAGGACGTGCCTAGTGGACTACCATCCATTAGAGGAATTGAGCACCAAATTGATTTCATACTTGACGCTGTCAATCCAAATCGACCGGCTTATCAAAATAATCCAGATGAGACAAAAGGGCTTCAAAGGCAAGTTGAGAAATTGATGAGCAAAGGATATGTACGAGAAAGCATGAGTCCATGTGTAGTACTTGTGTTGCTGGTGCCAAAGAAAGATGGAATTTGGAGAATATGCTAGATTGCAGAGCCATCAACAACATTACAATAAAGTATCGTCACCCAATTTTTAAGCTAGATGATATGCTAGATGAGCTACATGGTGCATGTATTTTCAGTAAAATTGATCTTAAAAGTAGGTATCATCAAATTCGCATGAGGGAGGATGATGAATGGAAAACGACTTTTAAAACTAAGTATGAATGATTAGTTATGCCGTTTGGACTCACAAATGCACCAAACACTTTTATGCGGTTAATGAACCATATTTTACGTGCTTTCATTGAAAAATTTATTGTAATTTATTTTGATGACATTTTAATCTATAGCAAGAATCTTGATGAGCATGTAGAACATTTGAGGTGTGTGCTAGTGGTTTTGAGAAAAGAACAACTTTATGCCAATTTTAAAAAGTGCACATTTTGCATGGATAGGGTTTTATTTCTAGACTTTGTAGCTAGTGCTAATGGTGTAGAGGTAGATAAAGAGAAAATAAATGCTATTAAGGATTGGCCAACACCTAAAAACATAACTGAAGTTAGAAGTTTTCGTTGATTTGCTAGTTTTTATAGGCGTTTTGTTAGGGACTTCAGCACAATTACCACGTCACTAACTGAGATTGTCAAGAAAAATATGGAGTTTCAATGGGGGGTAGAACAAGAACATGCATACAACACTATCAAAGATTGTTTGTGTAAAGCACCGGTTTTAGTACTTTCTAACTTGACAAAACTTTAGAGATTGAGTATAATGCATCAGGAATAGATAGTGGAGCAGTCTTAATGCAGGATAAGAGACCTATAGCCTACTTTAGTGAGAAGCTAAGTGGTGCAGCTCTCAACTATCCTACGTATGACAAGGAGCTTTATTCACTTGTTCGAGCCTTGGAGACATGGCAACATTACTTGTGGCCAAAAGAGTTTGTAATTCATTCTGATCATGAATCACTGAAACATTTGTGGGGTTAAGTAAGTTAAACAAACGACATGCACATTGGATGGAATTCATAGAAACTTTTCCATATGTCATTCGTTACAAACAAGGTAAGGAAAATGTAGTAGCGGATGAGGTATGTGCTTTTAACTACTTTAAGTGCGAAATTGTTTGGTTTTGAATACATTAAGGACATGTATGCTAATGATTCTGAATTTTCCAACATTTACAATTCATGTTATAAGGAGGCTGTAGATAAGTTCTTTAAACATGAGAGGTACTTGTTTCGGGAAAACAAATTATATGTTCTTAATTGCTCTATGCGTGAATTATTGGTTAAAGAAGCACATAGTAGGGGTCTAATGGATCACTTTGGGGGTAGCAGAGACTTTAGAAATATTAACCGAGCATTTTTATTGGCCTAAAATGAAAGTTGATGTGGAACAAATTTGTAGTCGATGCATAACTTTTAAACAGGCTAAATCGATGGTCTTACCTCATGGGCTTTATACACCTTTGTCAGTACCTAGTGAACCTTGAGTAGATATCTCAATGAATTTTGTGTTAGGCTTGCCTAGGACTAAAATGGGTCAGTATTCGATTTTTGTAGTGGTGGATAGGTTTAGTAAGATGGCACATTTCATTCCATGTCACAAAACTGATAACGCCACTAACATTGCAGACTTATTCTTTAAAGAAATTGTGCGCTTGCATGGAATACCTAAAAGTATTGTGTCAGATAGGAATGTCAAATTTCTTAGTCACTTTTGGAGGGTCTTGTGGAATAAATTAGACATGAAATTACTATTTTCTACAACTTATCACCCACAAACCGATGGACAAACTGAAGTAGTGAATAGGACCATGACACAACTATTGCGCACTGTGGTTAATAAGAATTTGAAGAATTGGGAAGAGTACTTCCCTTTCATAGAGTTTGCATATAATAGGGTCACATACTCCACTACATCGTTTTCCCCATTTGAAATTGTTTATGGTTTTAATCCTATAACATCTATGGATTTAATACCTTTGTCTGTGAATGAACGAGGTAACTTGGATGGGAAGAGGAAGGCTGAGCTGGTGAAGTCACTTCATGAAAAGGTGCGAGAGAAAATTGAGAAGAAGAGTAAGCACTATGTAGAGCAAGCAAATAAGGGCAGGAAGATTGTTACATTCGAACTAGGAGATTGGATTTTGGTGCATTTCAGGAAAGAGGGATTTCCAGAACAAAGAAAATCAAAGTTGTCACGGGGAGATGGACCATTTCAAATGCTTGAAAAGATTAATGACAACGCATACAAATTAGATCTTCCAGATGAGTATAACATTTCAGCAACTTTTAATGTGTCTGATCTTTCTCTCTTTGATGCATGTACAAATTCAAGGACGAATTCTTTCGAAGAGGGAAGGGATGATGTGATCCAAGAGCCACAAGCATCAAGGTCAAGTCTAACGTCAAGCCCGAAGAAAGATCCGTTGATAGTCGAGGATGGTCCGATGACTTGAGTGAGGACGAAGCGAGTAAAAGAGACGATGTGATTGCTCGTTCAAGAAACTATTGATGGAACGATGTTCGGGACGTAAAACAAGACAACTTTCATGTTCGAGTGAAAAATCGAATCAAATTAGATCAACTCAATACAAGCCGATGCGGTCGCATAGTGTTATTTCGGGGATAAAATTTCATTTTCCCGCATTTTTTTTCCATATTTTGTTAAAATTTTATTTTTAATTAAATTCTTATGATATTGGTTGGTTATTTTCAAGATTCTACTAGATTATTAGTATTTTATTCCTTTTGGACTTCTATTCTAGGATTTAATATAAATAGAAGTTTATTCCTTCATTGTAAAGAACCTTTGATATATTGATTAATTGAAAGGCTTTAATTGCTTTCTTTTTGTTCTTTCAATTGAACAACTTTCAAACTTATCAAGATCTAATTCTTGTGGCGTTCAAATCAACCGGATGAGATTCTATAATTTTGCATAATCAAGAGGTCCGCACATTGTCGACGATTCGGGTTGCTTGGTTCCATATTTATCGATTTCGAATCCAAAATCTTACTTTGACTTTCTTGGAAAGATTTCCATCTTGTTCGTGGGTTCCGTAACATTTACCTACACGGGTTCACATCAAAATGTATGATTAAAAAATGAGGAAAAATTTTGACTTTGTATATAATATTATTTTATTGAAGAATGTGAAGTTGAAATGATGTCAAATCACTATTTAAAAAAATATATTTTTTCGAAAGAATGTGGCTAAAACAAGGCCTTAAAGTGTAACTACTCTCGTCAATTGCAAATGAACCTCTTCTCATGTTTTATTAAAAATAATACTATTTAGCATCACAAATGTTATACCAGTTTAAGTGGCACTAAGTGTCATTAAATGAAATATACAATTAATTGAATTACATAAGTTTACTTTTAATTGAACCTATCACATAGTGGTGGATAAACTGATTTTCTAGCACCACTAATTCTAGATAGCATTATTTTTTCATTAATAATGGAATTCATAGAGGAGAGAGTTATGGGAGCGGTACACATAATACACCGAAATCAAGAAAACATATGTTTAGCAACATTAATACAATTGCTGTCACAAAATCAAAATATATGTTTAACAACGTTAACACATTGCTGTCACAAAATCAAGAAGGCAACAAAACGACAGGTGTACACAGTCATACATTCTACTAGTTTTTTCTTGTTATCTTACATACTCGGATACATTCCTAGGAACAAAGTAAACATGAATTTGAAACATGGATGATAGCAAGAATCTAGTAATGCCATACTGATCATCAAATAGACACCTTCGAAGAGATGATCATCAAATAGACACCTTGTTTACTCTAAAAGAATCCATAACCTCGCGAATGTCACTTTCCTCTTCCACAAATACTTTCTCGGGTGTCTGTATTCTTAATTCATATAATCGGTTGTTCTCAACTCCAAGAACTGAAAGATAGCGCCGATCCCATTCCAGACGGGCCACCCTTTCCTCTGGCATGACAGCCAATTCATTGTTGTTCGCGTATGACTTTATGTTCACCTAGTTATGTAAAAAATGTAATCAACATCGGACAATGACTTCATTGATTTCACTTTGCTCAGAAGAAACAAAGTCTCTGATACAAGTGGAAAAGAAGTGCCCTATAATAGACATTGCCTCGAATACGTAACTATGGTTAATGGAAATGAAAACGACTTGAACCTAATGAGAACTCACCTCCACTTCGTAATATAGTCTTCCATCGTTAGCTACCCTTGAAGAGGTAGAAAGAATACTTGATTCACGCCTAACACCAAGTCTAGTAGACATGAACTCCGTCAAATACTGCCTAAGTACCTTCTTTCCTGCTTCATCCGGAGAACCCAAATCTTCTACGCTCTTGTAACTGGAGGATGAAGGTGATGATATATCCACCGAGAGATTTTCATCTAGAACGTAAGGATCCCTGAAGAATATGTCGGCCCCAGCACCACGTACTTGGATCCAGTTCTGAGGGTACTTTAATGAGTAGCCATCAAAGGTATCTATGTATTCCCTGAACCCAACAGGTTGTGCATATGCAATATTGTGTATATTAGTTCGTGAAAGGATGCAACCTGCGAGGATCAAGGCCATCACATTTCTTCTCGGAACTGCAAAATCTTTATTCTGGTTTTATATTAGAAAATGTCCCGTGAGAAACTGTTCAACTTATAAAGTCATGACTTGTGCAGAATGAAATTACTTCTTGATGGTGCTTTGATTGACGGGTCCATGGCATATACGACTATAGCACATACTATACGAACTCCGTTATACTTCTAAGTTTCTATAGCTATCCAACTAATTACTTTTCCCGCTTAACATAACATAATAAATGACTAGAAAAGTATAAACACCTGGTGTTTGGGACATAAAATGACTCACAAACTAATCTCCAAATCGTTGGTAAATTTAATGCAGACCACAAAACTTATTGCGTAAATGTGTATGATGTGGCAATCACTCATATTCCTTTGGTTCGTGGATTGTTTTTGAAGATGGTAGGAATGGCTTCCTTATTGATAGAGCAAAACAATTCAATGCATAAACTTTTATGCCATCCTGAACTAGTCATCCGAATTCATTCCATAATGCATCAGAAAATCGAAACAGGTTATTTTTCCACTCTAGACATGACTATCACTGCTGCCAATATTTGAAACTCAATCCAAAAATATACAATAGCTTCTCTCTTTTTTTAGGACATTGTGACCATCTATGAGATAGATGCCCAAATAAAAAATTTCTACTTTCCCTAAGCTGGGCAGGATATATTCATTGTTGATTTGGTCGAAATCCCAATCCGGTTTTCTGTAGGCAGTTTAACCATATATAGAAGATTTTAATTCATACAAAAACTTCATTCTCTTTCTCTTAGACCATAATCCTAATCAGTTCCCAGAAACCTAACGTGCTTCTGACCGATTATTATCCTTTATACATTGCATCTTTGTAAAAATTAAAAATCAAATGCTACAGCAGACGGGTAGGAAATTTGGGATTAAACATTTATTTCAAAATAAGGTAACAGTAGTACACTAACGACGAATACTAAATGAAAATTGATGGAAAAATCTGCAATGCCAAAGAAAATCTAATGAGAACATAAATGGAAGGACTGACCCCGTGTAATTTACAAGAAATGGACGATCGACGGATGCAATTTCTGTGGTGGGGTGGAACAAAATTGACAAGTCCGCGAGAGGAAGACCTGTCCAGCTTCGGAGAATTCGAGGTCGTGGCCAGAGGCTGAACTCTTACGAGGATGCTGGCCATTGTGTGTGTCGCTGTTGGGTGAGTGAGGTGGGGTGAGAATGTTAAGGAACCATGGCGAGGTTTCGAGGAACAGAAGAGGATAACAGGCATGGATTTTTTTGGATAAGTGAAAATAGGCCCCTCTTTGACCACATTCC